AACTGTGTGATACGGACGTTCAGAAAAAGGCGGACGCAGTGTCAGTCAGAAATGATTGAGGGCGCGAAATGTCAGTGGTTTATTTACTTGTGCGTGTATAATGAGTTACCACATTACCAGACATATGAAAATTACCTATACTATATAAAAATAAGTCGGTTTATAAAATCTATATAAAAATAAGTCGGGTTTTCCTTTCTGACGCTATAATTCCAGGACGCACGAACCGATTTCCACAGTTTTGCATTCGTTGGAAAGGTCTCTGGCTCCGTGAGGTTTATAGCTAAGGAATAGCCATCTGGTGGCGAAACGGAGTTCGCCGGGTTTGCTAGATTTGAATAAATATTTTTGCATACGAATAAGCATTTTTTATGTGTTGCTTTATACCATGATTATAGGTATAGAATAGTATAATTCAACTTGTTCGACCGTGGCACTAAAATCAAACATAAGAAAGGTACTAAACAAATTAGTGTTTAAACAAATGCGATAATACTAATACACAATAACAATAATAACGTTCATTTTTATTAACATTTTGGACTATTAATAGATCACTTTTATCACAAAATTCGAATTAATTCTTAATATAACATAACATCACGCCGTTTATCCCCGAAGGGGTAGGCAGAGGTGCACACAGAAGTAACACCCACTTTTCACTATTTATGTTATGCGAGTCCCATGTAAAGTGTATGGATGAGCCTATTGAGATATACTGGGCACATTTCCACACTCCGTGCTACTACTGAGAGTTTTTTTAAAAACCCCAGTCATACTTTGCCCGACCCTGGAATCGAACCCGAGACCCTTTGCCCGGCAGTCGCACTTGCGACCACTCGGCCAACGAGGCAGAATTATTTCTTTTACACATTATTTGCAGTAGAAAATCCCGAAAATAAAATAATAATTGTAATTAAACGTGTAGGTATGTATTCTGCGAATCAGTCTATAGTAGCCAGGTGCCAGGCGTTGTTTTACGAGATTGTATCCGACATTTTTCCAATCCTTGTGTGACACAAAAAAAATGGGAAAATAAAACAAAAAATCTAAAATACAAACAGTTTTTATTCAATAGAATGTTGTGAAAAATCACACTACACATACTAAGATAATAATATTACCACAATTAATACATATAATGTATACTAATTATAAATCACATACATGTAATTATTACCTTCCTATCTCAGTGGGATACTGTGATTATTTGAATTCGCTCATCTCCGGAACTACTGGTGGGAATTGAACTTTTTCTGTTGGACAGTCTTATTTGTCAAAGAAGGCTGTAGGCTATAAAAGATCACGCTTCTTTTTAAGGGGGGAAAAATCATCGAATGTCTTCTCTCGCCTGTGTGAGGCGGGAGGGAGTGTCAGACTCTTACTGACTAAAAACCACCCCGTTCCTTCTCCTGCACGTCGAGCCGGAGTCCCGGTTACCCGTTAGATTCTTCGCGGCTTCGTATCGGCATAAGCCTTATTGGGCCCCATCCGTGGTGGTCTGATGGCTCTTTGAGGACCGCGCGGAACGCGACGTGCCGTACGCTCGGGCCTGGTTCTGGTCGGACGGCGAGCCACCCATGCTCGTCGTCCGCAGGCCCGCGCTTACGGTGGCCGGACATCGTCCCGCGATCCCCGACGCCCGGTGTGGCCTTCGCGAAAAAGATCACGCTAAGATCAATATTATGCGCAACTACTTACGACGCGCAACAGGTGAAATCTTGTGGCAATAGGTAGTTTATTTTTCAAGTGAAGCTTTTGAGCCTTTCATGTTTATCCCAGTATAGCTTGATTGAAATTAGTTGAGTGTACTTAAAAATGTACATGACTAACCTTAAAATATATTATTATACTATATCTCTCAATAATTTTTCCTTCTGCTAGATACAAAAACAACGCATTTTAGGAACAAAATAAGTAGTTTAAAGGGTCGCGGAATATTGCTCATGAATATGAGCCTCTAGCATGCCTTGAAACTAGTCGAGTTCCTCGTCAAACAGTTAAGTAAGCCGTAAAAAAATATTTATTTCTTTTGTGGGTTTTTTTTCTTTTATGGGATGGGTTAAGCCGGTAAACGAGCAGACGGATCACCTGATGGTAAGCAATCGGCGTCGCCCATGGGCATCCGATACCAGAGGCGTTACTAGCGCGTTGCCGGTCTTTTGGGGATTATGGTAACCTCACTAACACGACGAAACACAACGCAAGCGTTGCTTCAGTTCAGTGTCTTCAGTTTTCTGTGAGGCCGTGGTATCACTCCGGTGACGGCCCATTCGTAGCGAAACATGGCTCTCCCACACTTAAAATTAAGTATGTCTCACAAAACTTATATATACGTAATAAGAGAAGTTGTTTGGTTGTATAAATAATTATGAATCACAGTATCCCATTAAGAAATTCGTTCACCGTTCAGTACAGATCACAGTTAGTTCAAGATCCCAAAGATATTACTCAGCAAGTCATGTTTCAGCAGTCGACTCTGTATAATGGCTACACATGTAATATTCTGAATAAGTTTACAGGAATGAGAGAAAATTATTTAGCCTGAGGAGTATTTATGAAAATTGTATCAAGAATTGATGCATTAGAATGTAACATACCATTTTTTTATATATATTTGATGGGCCGACCACTATCTCGCCTGGTGATAAGCAATGATGCGATCTACTATGAAACTATTATTTTATTTTCAAATAGACCGGTCTTTTCTGAGACAATTCAGTTTATTCTTTAAAATCACTTTTGGATCATCAATATATTTTTGTTAAAACATCAAAACAAACTATTTCAATCACAGTAGACCGGTCTTTCGGTCTACTCAGCAAGAAGACCATGGTCTTTTCAAGTTTCTTTTGTAGATTTTCATAAATACTTTCAGGCAGCCACTACATTTCTTATTAAATTTAATATGATATTGAGTAATTGATCACTACGTTACATATTTATTGAAAAATGCTTCGAGTCAATATTATGGGAGTAATACACCTAGTTTGTAATATCGACAAGTTATATTAATTTAGGAAGAAAATCATGCCTGCATAACTCTTCCCTTGCTGACTGACCAATTGATTGACTGACTGACTAATCGACTAAATGAGTGAGTGATTGACTGACTGACTGAATGGTTGACAGACAACACACAGCTGTAACTACTGCGCGTAGCATGCTCTGTAAGATATAGTTTGCTTTGGGAAGCATTATGAGAGAATTTTCCAGAAAAAATCATCATTTTTTGTGTGTGTGCTAATTCTAGATTTAATAATTTCAGTCACCAAAATTATTAATTCTTTTAAAATATAATTTGTCGATATTACTACAAATTTTTCGTGACAAACACGATAGTCAATAATAATTATTATTATTCATTAGATTATTATTGTTAGAACATTCAGCGACTACTTAAAATCTAATTTTATGTAGACAATATAACATAACGTTCATTGTGTAATAATTAAAACCTGGATAAATTGAAATGCAATCATGACGAGCTATGTATCGCCCGGACATTGAACCTCGCTACCATACGGCAATAAATCATGAAATTCGTGTGGCGTAATTACTGGATGACCCCTTGGCTAATTAGACCTCGATACCATCAGTTGACTGGACAATCTCTAACCTACACATATTATAATTTTAACTATTACACAACGCAACAAAATCTTACCCCAGAAGTGTACACGTATTACAATAAAAAAAAATAATAACACAGCGCCGTGCGTTAGTCGTGCGACAAGTCTGACCGACTAGTCGCAAGCTTAGTCGTCATAATATAAAAAAAACGCAGTTCATAGCAATACATACAAAAGTGATAATTTTTGGACTTAGCTCGTCACTTGGAGATTATCTTGTGAAAAAAACTATTGTTGTCCTTTTCTAATGGTAAAGATAGAAAGGGATCGCTTTATATTTTGTATGAAGACAAAATCGGGAAGGGGTAGGCAGAGATGTACATAATATATAATGTAACACCCACTTTTCACTATTTATGTTATAAGTCCCATGTAATAGGGGGTGAGTCTATTGCCATATACCGGGCACAATAGGGTTGATGATTAATATTTATTTTAATGTCCGTCTGGTAGATTATTTTAAAACATTACACACGTATTTTTTATGGACACAAAATAGTTTCGACTATGTATATGTTTGATTTAAAACTGTGTACATTTTATACTCAAAAATGACTCAGTTAGCTCAGCTTAACTTTGATTCGTTTTACCTAAGTATTGTTTTCTTATACGAAATAATCAATAAAATACGTGTCTTACTATTTTACCTACTATTTTTATTCAAATAGACCGGTCTTTTCGTCTTTTCTGTAAAAAAATAGTTTTTTCTTTAATATAACCTTTGGATCACCAAGATATTTTTGTAAAACCATCAAAACAAACTATTTCAATCACAGTAGATCGGTCTTTCGGTCTACTCAGCAAGAAGACCATGGTCTCTTCAAGTTTTTTTGCTAATTTTCATAAATATTTTCAGGCAGCCGCTATTTCTTATTAAATTTAATATGATAAAATACGTGTCTAATATTTTTTCATTACCTAACGGACGAACTAATTATATTTTTAATTTTCATACCCCGACATCATACCCTATTGCATATTCTATGTTTAAAATCCAATAATAGTTTTCCCAACCCGAGATCAATTTCATAGAATTTCATAAGAAAATCTCAGTAACGATTACGAGTTTTTTAACATTAAAAATTCCTACAATGAATGTATATTTCAGTTAGTTTATATAATACGCAAGATTATATTATAATATATAAGATATCTACTTAAAGCATATAATTATAACTTATACAGAATGATTTTTATCATCGGCCTATTCAGTACCATTTTTGAAAAAAAAAAAAAAAACAAAGAAACGTAAAATATTCAAACTTATTAGCTCTTTATTATGAATAATTGAATCTTGTAAGGAAATCTGGGCTTATAATTTATAATTATAAGTTTGTAATCGCCAACCCGCATTGAGAAAGCGTGGTGATTAATGCTCAAACCTTCTCCGTGTGAGAAGAGGCCTTTGGTCAACAGTGGCCACTTATAGGCTGTTGGTGAAAAGGACGTATTCAATGATATTCGCCAGAGTCGTATATCCGGCCGATGATTAAAAAATCATTTTGTACAATTGCGAATTCGGCATCGATATTGTTCTAAATGTAAGTTCGTTTTACATTTCAACTTAAAAACTACTGAACGATTTTATTTTCATATGAAAAAAGAAATATAAATATCACGTGTCCCCGAAATTTTTCAAAATTTGGTTCAGGTATCGGATTTTCGATACGTGTAGCAGAAATAGAATGTAATATTTTTATTGGAGATCACAAAAATATTGTATTAATGAAGTCAGAAAATATTTTTTAGACTTAACCATATATTTTAGTAAAATTAACGTACAATATATGGGTGAAGTATCGAAAATCCGATACCTACCTAAGTATATTTTGAAAAAAGCTTATTTAGTAAAGAAAATCATATTAATTCCGACTGTATTAACAATAAGCAGTCAAAACATTAAATTCGTCGATACATTTCGAAAAATGTAGAGTTCGCAAAAAAATCGAAAATTCGGGGTATTTTTTATACACAAAAAATAATTATTAAATAAAATTTCTCGTTGCTCGAGAGTACAGTCAGCAGCTCAGTGGCAGAAACCTGTTGACAACTTTTTTGCAAACCATCCTCAGTGTAATTTTTTTTTCAAGTCTTGAGCGAAAAGTGACAGAATCAGTCAAATATAATCGACTTTATTTACTAGGAAATAAGTGCTATTTTTGCAAGGCTCTTTTGATACAACAATTATGACGATTTCTATATAAACATCGCTTTTTAAGACAGAGGTGTCGGTAACATTTTTTTATTAAGTCAAATAGTATTTTATTGTATCAAAATTGGTCTAGAAGTTTAGAAGATAGATGCTTACAATCATACATACATACTTTAAAATATTGTATGTTAGACACTGTTGGTTCAAGTTGAGCGGTCGGTGTATGCCACTGCGTTCTGTTGCGGGTACGAGTCCCATCTGAAAGCAAAAAGAGAATATTTATATTTTTTGGAAAATATTACAATTTTTTTTTTGAGGCGTCATGCACACGCATTTGTTTGAGAGCCGTGCTTTGGCCCTGCTGGGCCGGCTCGATCAGAGTGATACCATCAACGAGCAGAAAACTGACAATGTTTGCGTTGTGTTTCGTCGTGTGAGTGAGGTTAACGGAGGCCCAAAAACCTCTCTCCCCAGTCTCCCCAATCCCCCATCATTCAATTGAGGATTGACTTCAAATTCCCGAATCTGGTGTTTCGAGTGTCCATAGGCGACGCCAATTGCATACCATCAGGTGATCCGTCTGCTCGTTTACCGGCTTATCATATAAAAATAACATAACTTCACGCCTTTTATCCCCACAGGGGTAGGCAGAGGTGTACATTACGGCACTTAATGCCACTGTACAATGTAACACCCACTTTTCACTATTTATGTTATGAGTCCCATGTAATAAGGGGTGAGCGTATTGCCATATACCGGGCACAATTTCGAACTTCGTACTACTACTGTGATTTTTAAAAACTCATTAATACTTTGCCCGACCCGGGAATCGAACCCGAGACCCCTTGCCTGGCAGTGTTTTATAGTATACTAGCGGATCACGTTGTCCTGCATATAATATAATAATAACAATTTAATAATAGGTATACATAAATAACCTAGGCTAGATACCGACTGCAGCGCCATCTAGCGGGCTGGTTTGTGAATATAAACCATCGAGGGCGCCACTCAAACGCACATAGAAAAATTCATTTCATTTAAATCGGTCAAGCCATTTAGGAGGAGTTCAATGACATACACTCGTACAGCAGAATCTTTATATATATAATTCTTCTGTGAGTGTGTATGTCACTGAACTTCTCTCAAACGACTGGACCGATTTTGATGAAATTTTTTGTGTGTGTTCAAGGGGATCTGGGAATGGTTTAGATTCACATCAGCCCGGCAGATGGCGCTGCAGTCGGGGTCTAGGTTATTTATCCTAAACGACTGAACTAATTTGAATGAATTTTTGTTTATACATTCAAGTGGATATGCAGGACCACGTCTGTCGGGTCCGCTAGTTATATATATATAAAGATAAAACAAGTAATTAATTTACCTTGACAATAGTGAATATTATATCAGTTCATATAATATTACAGCAGCGACAGTACCGCGGCCGGGCGCCGCCGCCCGCCATGGGCGGAGTCACCGGGGCGAAGTACGCGTGCACCTTTATGTGCGGCAGGTGGTTCTGGGAACATATTTACTTGTTATCACCTCTAGTTTTCACGTGGGTGTACGATACCCGACTATGGGACTACATGTTTGACAAGATGCCAACCTTGAAGCACAATTTTAAATTTCTAATCCCCAAAGGGCCAGTAAAGCACTTGTAACATCTCCGGTGTTCTAGGTGTCCGTGAGCGACGCCTATTGCTCACCATCAGGTGATTTATCCGAGGCCTTAGTACGAGTTTGTTTTGAAAGTAATCTCGTCGTTCTCTGCTCGTTTACCGGCTTATTCCATAAACAAAGAAAAGAACTAATATTTTGACAATAGCTGTTTATAGGATTACAATATGTAATTGTTATTTATATATATCGAAATAGTTTTTTGTAATAGAATTTAATCCCATTTTTAGTCTATGCTATCCCTCTATGGTAGTTCTGTATTGTCTATGTGTGTATCTTTCTCTTTGCCATAAACCTGTGCGGAATATAGAAGCGTGCTCGCTATCAAAAAGTTGTTTTAATCATTAATAATAGGTTATGGGCCCAGCAAAGCCGATATTTAGCTAGGGACAGTCGTAATTTTCAGTTTAGCTCAGTTTTTTAGCGTAGGCCGTGAGTGATAAGCACATAAATCATGTCGGCAAACTATTTGGTAAATGTACCAAAGCTAAAGGGGCGGGAAAATTACGCGGAGTGGTGCTTCGCGGCGGAGAATTTTCTGATCCTGGAGAACATGGAGCATTGCATTAAACCTGTTGCCGGGAAAATTACAGAAGCCGCTGATGATGCGAGGACCAAGGCTAAATTAATTCTCACAATCGACTCGAGCCTATACGTGCACATAAAGGAAGTCAAATCATCGTTGGAGCTGTGGAAAAAGCTGAGAGCATTATTTGATGACTCTGGTTTCACTAGACGCATCAGTTTATTGAGAAATCTCATCTCGATTCGTCTTGAAAATTGTAATTCAATGACAAGTTATGTGACACAGTTAGTGGAAACTGGTCAAAAGCTAAGCGGAACGGGATTTCAAATCAGTGACGAGTGGATCGGCTGTTTATTGCTAGCCGGTTTGACTGAGAAATACTCGCCGATGATTATGGCGATCGAGCATTCTGGTATCGCCATCACCACCGACGCCATCAAGTCAAAGTTGATGGATTTGGAAGAAAATAATGGCGGCGAATTTAACGGAGCACTTGCAACTTTTAATAAAAAGGTTGGCAGCATTGGTCACGCCCGAACCAAAGACAACGGATATGCGCAAACGTCAAAGTCAAAGAAAGTACCGCGGTGTTATAAATGTAAACAAACCGGGCACTATCGTAATCAATGTACTGTGGACAAAATATCTTCAAATACGAAACCAAGTGAACGTAAACAAACGAATGCGTTCAACGCTGTTTTTCTAAATGGCAGTTTTTCGAAACAAGATTGGTACGTTGATTCCGGGGCGAGTGCACACTTAACCTCAAACGAAAACTGGATTAAAAATGTTTCAACCGAGCATTCCATCAAAGAAATTGTCATTGCGAATGAAGAAAAACTTTATGTGAAGTGTTCAGGTGATGTACAAATTACGACGGTTACTGACGATAGCGAATATGACGTGATAGTCGAAGGAGTGTTGTGTGTGCCTAAACTAACCACAAACCTGCTGTCGGTCAGTCAATTGGTCAAAAATGGTAACCAAGTGAGGTTTACTACCAGTGGATGCAGTATTTACAACAAAAGTAAGCAGTTGGTTGGCGTCGCGTCATTGACAAATGGTGTCTATAGGTTGAAAACTCCTGAGAGTACATTGGCTGCAACTTTTATATCTGTAAATACATGGCATCGCAGATTAGGCCACGTAAACAGTGTATACTTGAACAAGATGCCTGATGCAGTGAGTGGCATGGAACTTCAAAAGAAAAGTGACATTTCTCAGTCGTCATGTATTGTTTGTTGCGAGGGTAAGCAGTCTCGCCTTCCTTTTGGACAAGCTGGTTCTAGAAGTGGTGAATTATTGGGTATAGTTCACAGTGATGTTTGTGGACCGATGGAAAATACATCAATTGGTGGGTCGAAATACTTCATTTTGTTCATCGATGATTACAGTCGCATGACTTACATATACTTCATGAAACAAAAGAACGAAGCATTTCAACACTTTCAAAACTATAAAGCCAAGGTAGAGAACCAGTTGAATAGAAAAATTAAAATACTTCGCAGTGACAACGGGACGGAATTTTGCAACAGAAGTTTTGATGATTACTTGAGAAAGAGTGGCGTTTTGCACCAGAAGTCAAACCCCTACACGCCAGAACAGAATGGCCTGGCAGAGCGTTTTAATAGAACAATTATTGAGAAAGCAAAGTGTTTATTATTTGATGCTAAGATGGGCAAAGAATTTTGGGCCGAAGCGTCAAATACAGCTGTCTACTTGCATAACCGCATTGTCCTGTCAGCATTGAACAACAAAACACCCTATGAAGTTTGGACAGGATGTAAACCAGACATAAGTCATTTGCGGATTTTTGGCAGCCGTGTCATGGTGCATGTTGCACAAGAAAAGCGCCAGAAATGGGACAAGAAGTCAGAGGAGCAGATACTTGTGGGCTATCCAGAAGACATAAAAGGGTATAGAATTTATAGTCCCATCACTAAGAAAATCATTACAAGTAGAGATGTGATTGTAATGGAGGAAGTGTCTATGCCTGTGACAGAAAGCAAAGAATACAGTGAAGAAAGTCTAGATTCAGCGGGGGACACATCTGCAGGTGACTCGGAAGATACTATGACTGAAAGTTATAATGACAAGTCTGATATGACATATATACCGAGTGACTATGAGGATGCTGAGTCAAATGAATTGAGAGATTCGGAGCATGACAAGAGGGCTATTAGGTTACGGAAGAAACCTGATAGATATGGATTCTCCAACATGTGTACCGATTCTGGTGTAGAAACGTGGGATGATGCTGGTGATCTGACGCTACAGGAAGCGTTGTCAGGGTCACAGAAGGAGCAGTGGTTAAGTGCTATTAGGGAAGAACTGGACTGTTTTAATGAAAATGATGCATGGGAGTTGGTAGATGCTCCTAGTGCAGGGACAGTAGTGAAGTGCAAGTGGGTTCTTAAAAAGAAATATTGTGATAGTGAAGTGAGATATCGTGCAAGGTTGGTCGCCAAGGGATTTACACAAAAACCTGGTGTGGACTACAACGAGACATTCTCTCCTGTTATAAGACATTCTACCTTGCGTTATCTGTTTGCATTAAGTGTACAATTAGATATGAATGTAACTCATCTTGATGTCACTACAGCATTCCTGAATGGTCATTTGAAGGAAACTATCTTTATGCAGTTACCTGAATGTTTCCCTGTTACTGATTGTAATAAAGTTCTTAGATTAAAAAAGGCAATTTATGGCCTAAAACAGGCTTCTTTAGCCTGGTATGATAGAGTAAATGAAACTTTATGTAATTTAGGATATGTCAAAAGTAAAATAGAGCCTTGTGTATTTATAAAAGATTGTAATACTGGTAAAAAAGTGATAGTAGGTCTTTATGTAGACGATTTCCTAATATTTTCAAATGTAAAGTCTGAAACTGATAGTTTAATTGAAGCTTTAAGTGTAAAATTTAAAATAAAGAATCTTGGTAATGTTAAACAGTATCTAGGCATGAAAGTTAATGTTGATAGGAAGAATTGTGTTGTAACACTTGATCAAAAGCATTATATAGAGCAGTTGATGCAAAAGTTTAATATGACTGATTGTCACTCAGCAGAAACACCTATTGAATGTAAATTAAATGTTGAAAAATCTAGTATGTGTAAAGATAATATTCCATATCAAAGGTTAATAGGATGTTTAATGTATCTAGCGGTGATGACTAGACCAGACATAGCATACTCTGTCAGTTATTTATCACAATTTAATAATTCCTATTCAAGTGTTCATTTTTCTTATGCTAAAAGGGTTCTAAAATATCTGTATAAAACAAGGGATTACTGTTTGAGATACTCCCAAGGAACAGCAGATTTGGTCGGCTATGTAGATGCCGATTGGGCGAGTGATGCGTTAGATAGACGGTCATATACTGGTTTTTGTTTTTTGAAAAGTGGGTCTGCTATTGCTTGGGAAAGCAGAAAACAACGCACAGTAGCCTTGAGTAGCTGTGAAGCAGAATATATGGCTTTATCGGAAGCAAGTCGTGAGGCTATATATTTGCGTAGACTAGAAACAGAATTAGTTGGGTTATGTAACACAATAACATTATTTAGTGATAGTCAAAGTGCGTTGAAGCTTGCCAATAATCATCAGTCACACAAGAGGTCCAAACACATTGATGTTCGATACAATTTCATAAAGAAAGTTATTGATGACAATATTATTGAAACAAAATATATTGGTACCTCTCAGATGCCTGCTGATTTGTTGACTAAAGGTTTAAATAGGGCAAAACATTACAAATTCATAGAGATTTTAGGACTTGTTAAACCCTAGTTAATTTTTATGTATACCTTAAGGTCTAATGTTTTGTCAGTTATGACTTCTAACTTTACGTCTGCAAAAATTCAAAGCAATCGGTTTAGTAGTTACGGCGTGAAAGTGGAACAAACAAACAAACAAACTCACTTTTCGATTTATAATATTAGTAAGGATAACAACGAGAAATGTTAGTATATAACTCACCCTCAACTTCCGTATAGCATTCCTGCTGACCATCTGACAATCATACAGCTCAATGAGCTGCAGGTTGTGGCAGGAGATGAGGTGCTCCAGCGCTCCATCAGTCACCAGGGGACAATTGTCCAGACCTAAGGACATACATAAAAATTAATCCCTTTTTCAGCCGGAGGCCCAATTACCCTCCGCTTCCCCAATCTCCCTAATTCCTAAATCCCCAACGATCCTCAAAATCCTCATCTCCAAAAAGCCGGTAAGGCACTCGTAACGCCTCTGGTGTTCCAGGTGTCCATGGGCGACGCCGATTGCTTACCGTCTGCCCGATTACCGGCTTATGCCATAAAAAAATATTGAAACAAATGCTTTCACTTAGTACATGTCATTTGTTTTTTTATTGTGAAATGAAGTTTTTTTCTGTTTTCTTCAGTTCCGGAGAATAGCGCGTTCAAACAAACTCAATTTTATAACAATTTACGTGAAGTGCGACACAAAATAGTGAGCTAGACTTCTATCGGGTATTGATGCGCAAGCGCAATATTGTTTTTTGAATGATCCATCTGGCTTTTAAAACAAGACAAAATTTATAAAGAATTTCGTTTGATGTACAAAATGACTTCGACTTTGAACAATATTGCGCATACGCATCAATATTCATTAGGAGTATAACTGACCAGTGCCTTTAGCCAAACGCCACTTTAGCGCTTGTCTACAGAGAGAGAAGAAAACTAAATGTATGTGGATGACACTGACAAGTGTCAAAATTTACGTCAATTCCATATAATTTAGTTTTCTATTCTACATGTAGACAAGCGCTAAATGGCATATGGCTACAGCTGCAGAATAGGAACAAATTTGGCGACTATTGACTTTAGTAGAACGCTTTACGTAGAATTAGGATACAGATATTAGGAAATTACCTAACACTGTGAGATGCTCGGCCGCACAGGGCGACATTGAGAGTTGTTTGATGCCGTAGTCTGTTATCAATTCGCAGTGGGAGAGCGTCTGTAAAATAGAACATAAAATATCATTTTTAAGTAGAACTTACATTTTAATAATATAAAATTATTTTATTAGGTATAAACAGTCTCGTTTGCCGACTGCCGGGCAAGGGTTCAATTCCCGGGCCAGGCAAAGTATTGCTAGGTTTTTAAATAAATCTCCAGTAGTAGCACGGAGACTGGAACTGTGCCCGGTATATGGCAATAGACTCACCCCCTATTACATGGGACTCATAACATAAATGTGAGAGTTACATTGTACAGTGGCATTAAGTGCCGTAATGCACCTCTGGCTACTAAAACTCGGGGATAAAAGGCGTGATGTTATGTTATGATTATATTATTATATGTGCAAGCGGGCTATCCGAGCAATATATAACTTACGCCGTTGCGAATCGCTAAGAGAATTGTTTAAAACGATAAACATCTTAACGGTGCCCTGTCAATATATATATGAAAATATAATGTATGTAAGAAAGAATAGGCAATTGTTCGAAAAAAGAAGCGATAGACACAATCTTAATACTAGAGGCAAGAATAAGTTAGCTGTACTGCAATTCAGACTGTCCAAGGTACAGAAATCCTTTATGGGGTTAGGTATTAAATGCTATAATAAAATACCAAATAGCATACTAGATCTAAATGAAAGTAAATTTAAAACATATATTAAGCGCGAATTATGTAAACAAGCGTACTACAGGGTGATTGATTATCTTGAGGATAGGAATGCTTGGCAGCGTGTTGGTTCGGCTCCACTGGACAATACTCAAATGTAGTCAGTACCTAGTTCAGATTACGATAATAGGTAATTTAACACTTTGATTCCGATGAAGGCAATCTATTTTTCTTGTGGCATCGAGCATTTCTTTCTTTATTTAAACAAGAGTATATTTTTTATTTTTTTCTTGTATAGAAGCACTATTTTATATGGATTGTCAGTATACATATGTGAGGACCATGTCAGACTTAAGATATTTGTTTTCTCTTGGTTTTGTTTTTTTTTTTTCTATTTTAGTATGTTCTGTTATTTGTATGTTGCTTCAGGTATGTCTTTACATTATTCTCACATGTGTGTACAATATTGGAATATGTATCAGAGCAATGTAAAACAGACTTTTTTTAAAAGAGTAACGAATGGAGTTTCTTGCTCGTTCTTCTCCACTCGAATCGACATTTTGGAACGAGCGCCTAGCTTCACTGACGGACAGACTGACAGACGATTATATATCTCATATTTGTTGACGTTTCAAAAGTACCAAATTATGGTTTAATTGAAATAAATGCTTTTGAGTTTGAGTTTGAGTTGAGTTTGTATACCGACCAGTTTCTCTAGGCGCGGGCAGCCCATGGAGAGATGTACGAGCGTGGCGTCGGTGATCAGCACGCACTCCTCGAGATCCATTCTTTCCAGCATTCTGCAGCTCTGTATAAGCATAATATAATTATCAGTATATCTTTACTAATCTATATAATTCATTTATATAAAATTACTGCCTCATCGGCTGTGTGGTCGCAAGTGCGACTGCCGGGCAAAGGGTCTCGGGTTCGATTCCCGGGTCGGGCAAAGTATTACTGGGTTTGTAAAAAAACCTCAGTAGTAGCACTGAGTCTGGAATTGTGCCCCATATATAGCAATAGGCTCACCCCCTATTACATGGGACTCATAAAATAAATAGTGAAAAGTGGGTGTTACATTGTACAGTGGTATAATGTGAACCTCAGCCTACCCCTTCGGAGATAATTGGCGCGATGTTATGTTATTTAATTTCTTCAGACAAACGGCTGACGTGATTGATTAACAAACATATACACAAAGTTTCGCATTTATAATATTAATAATAGTAAGACTGTGATTTTTAATTTATGAAAATTGAAATCTATGCTATAAGTTCGCTCTCTACGCTACTTCCGAGCAAGGAGTACCAGGGTGCTTTATATTAGAGGTAAATACAATTTCAATGGATCGACATTGGCATTGTGAAATTACGTAGTCTTTGATTTGCAACACTAGCGCCCATTGCATCCGTATTGCGTGGATATTGAATGAATTAAATGGTATTGAGTTTAGCTTTATATTCCGTACTCTGAATGCTATTGTAACAGCTACGATAGGGGTTGTATAGTGTTGACATTGAATAATTATTGGATTCAAATTGCATTGACATTGAGATTGGTTTCAAGAGTAAGCACCCAGGATTTTTTTTATGGCATAAGCCGGTGAACGAGCAAACGGATCACCTGATGGTAAGCAATCGGCGTCGTTCATACGTTGGACACCTGGAACACCAGAGGCGTTACAAGTGCGTTGGGGATCCAAGGATTGGGGAGATTGGGGAAGGGGAAGGTAATTGGGCCTCCGGTAACCTCACTCACACGACGAAACACAACGTAAGCGTTGCTTCACGTCGGTTTTCTGTGAAGCCGTGGTATCACTCCGGTCGAGCCGGCCCATTCGTGCTGAAACATGGCTCTCCCACATGTAATATTGACCTTTAAACTGTCAAACACCGCGCGGACACCGGCGACCGCAACCTATTGTTCTATAATTGTGTCTATAATGACGGTACTCGACGAGTTAAACCCGATGTAAGGTATATACGTACCCTGGCCAAGGCCTGGAAGCCGGCGTCAGTGAGCTGCGTGCACTGCGCCAGCTCGAGGGTGACGAGGTCGGGGCAGCGCGCGGCCAGCGCGGCCAGCGCCGCGTCCGTGAGGCGGCCGCAGCCCGATGTAAGGTATATACGTACCCTGGCCAAGGCCTGGAAGCCGGCGTCAGTGAGCTGCGTGCACTGCGCCAGCTCGAGGGTGACGAGGTCGGGGCAGCGCGCGGCCAGCGCGGCCAGCGCCGCGTCCGTGAGGCGGCCGCAGCCCGACACGCACAGGCGCCGCATGCCCGACCCCAGCTTGCTTATTGACTCGTCCGTCAGTTGCTGCGGGGAACCAAACGTTATCGTAATATCTTATACTATTATACAAGGTGTTGTTTTAAAACCGTGTCATTTTCTAGGAGATAACTCGGCTATAGATTCTGAGTCCGAATCAATAAAAAAAATTGTAGGTAAATATTTTAATTTTTCTGTAAATTACGGAAATTCGTAAGTGCGAACTACACGCCGCCGTCTAAGTGCGAACTACACGCCGCCGTCTTGTAACTAGCTTTACAACGTGGCTCAACACACACAAACTCAAACACGTAATTGATATTATTCCTAATTCCATAAAACTCCAATAGAAACATTGCTGTCGCTTATTCTGAAATACTGTCTAATTTAAACGATTTATTATAGCCGTATTTTTACCTATTAGCCCGAAACTTTCTCTTACATAGAACCTTTATGACTTCTGTGACATGCCCCCGAAATATGCCACGGTTTCAAAACTACACCTTGTACAAAGCGGAAGAGTTTGTTTTTTTGTTTGTTTGTTTGAACGCGCTAATCTCCGTAACTACAAGTCTGATTTGAATAATTCTTTTTGTGTTGGATAGCGCATTTATCGAGGATGGTTATATGCTATAAAACATCACGCTACGACCAATAGGAGCTGAGCAGAGCGTGTGAAACCGCGCTGAAGTAGCTAGTTTACTTAAAAATATTGGCCTATAAATATAAATGAAGTATCCTGAATGACAATTGTGTACTTGCCAAATGCCAACAAGTCAAATTCAATACTTTTTCCGAACTGTCAAAAACGACAGTTTTCTATGAATTTTGTACGAGATTGTGTATTGTAACGTCACGTTTTTTTAGCGTCAAACAGCAAACTTATTTCTTTAATCTTTATAAATTAAAATTAATATCTGTTCGTTAGTCTCGCTAGAACTCGAGAAAGGTTGAACTGATTTGATTAATTTTGGGTAAAAGGTGAGAAAGAATATTTTTAGGCCGTACGAAGTTCAGCGGGCTTACTCTTGAATCCAATTCCGATCGATTGACATTGGTATTGTGAAATATTGTACTCTTGAACACTAGCGCCCACATCCGTATTGCGTGGATATTGAATGAACTAAATAGTATTGAGTTTAGCTTTATATTCCGTACTCTGAATGCTATTGTAACAGCAACGATAGGGGTTGTATAGTGTTGACATTGAATAATTATTGAGATTTTATTGGATTGAAAATGCATTGAGATTGGTTTCAAGAGTAATCCCAGGTCAGGTAATTGATAATAATATAATACAATTCCATCATTACATAACGTAGCAGGTATTTTGAAGATCGCAGTGTAAAAAATTTAAACTTAATAGCAACTACTATAAGCCCAGTCTATCAAAAATAGTTACTTAGTCGGGTATATGACTCCCACAACAAGTACGGCAGTATTCTACTCTACTGTCACCATACGGGAAAATAATCGGTCTTAAATTGCTTAACCCAATGGTTTTTTTAAGAGGGGAAAATCATCGAATGACTGCTCCCGCCTGGGTGAGGCGGGAGGGAGTGTCAGACTCTTACTGACTAAAAACCACCCCGTTCCTTCTTCTGCACGTCGAGTCGGAGCCCCGGTTACCCGTTAGGTTCTCCGCGACTAACCTAATGGATAAGGTTAGGAAATAGATGGGTATACTCACATCACATCCCTGTACGTTGAGCGCCTGTAGCTCGGGACAGAACGTGGCCAGCGTTGATACGCATTTGTCGTTTACGTTCTTACAACCTGGGAGTAAAGAAATTGTTTTAATTAAGTTGGAAATATTCATTCATATCATCAACAGCCTATAAATGCCCACTGCTGACCAAAAGCCTCTTCTCACACGGAGAAGGTTTGAGCACTGTCAAACACACTGCGAGGACACCGGTGACCGCAACCTATTGTTCTTTAATTGTGTCTATAATGACAGTACTTGACGAGTTAATCACAACGCTTGCTCAATCCGGGTTGGCGATTACAAACTTATAATTAAATAGACACGGCAATCGAACCCAAGCCCCCTTGTCTGGCAGTCGCACTTGCGACCACTCGGCCAACGAGGCAGTCAGTAGGTTTTTTAAACGTAATTTATTTTAAAATTAGCATTTTATATCGCCACTTTTACAATATTTTAATCTGATATTGTTAAGCTACAATAGATATAAATAATTATATTACCGAAAAGGGCCAAGGGGTTTAAACTCACGTTAATTACAAATCAAAGGTATTATGTATGACAAAGGTACAGATAAAATGCTTTGGAGAACTACATAATATGAACATTGAAGAAGATGATAAAATGTGGGAGAGCCATACTTTGGTACGAATGGGCCGGCTCGACCGGAGTGATACCACGGCCGAGCAGAAAACCGACGTGAAACAACGCTTGCGTTGTGTTTCGTCGTGTGAGTGAGGTTACCCGAGGTTCATTTACCCCTCCTCCTCAGTGTCTCCAATCCCCGAATCCTCCACAATCGTCAAATTCCCAATTCCCAAAAGGCCAGTAACGCACTTGTAACACCTCTGGTGTTCCAGGTGTCCATGGGCGACGCCGATTGCTTACCATCAGGTGAACCGTCGGGTTTACCGGCTTAGGCCAAAAAAAATATTTTGGAACGATTCCCCACACTAGGATTGTCTCCTGTGTCGTGGGTACGTTTACAAACATACAAGTTCACATACACATGACACACAGACCCGGAACAACAATCTGTGGATCACGCAAAAAGCTGTTCCGTGCGGAAATCGAACCCGCGACACGTTGTAGCAGACAGTTGCCCAGCCACCGCGCCAACGTTTTATCTAATTGAAATTCCTCGTGTATATTGGACACAATACACAGACAAACACACATACCTCTGCATATAAAGGTCTTCAGTCTAGGACACGAGCGCGCGAGGGCCTCCACTCCGTTCTCAGTGATCAACTGACACCATGACACATTCACATGTGTAAGGAGCTGTAACGTAATGATATATAGTGTTATAATTTAATATTACATTATGTGTAATTTATACAGTCATATCCGGGGGAGACCGTCATTTCCGGGGTAAGTGACTGCCCGAAAATTATGGTATTTTTAATTAAAACTCGTCAAACACCAAGCGGTCACCGGTGACCGCAACCTATTGTTCTATAATTGTGTCTATAATGACGGTACTCGACGAGTTAACTCGTCAAGTACCGTCATTATACGTTTAAAATATGAACGAATAGGAAGAAAGAGAGGGAAGAAAGAGGAGAATCAAAGATAATGTGAATCGCATTAGTCTAAAATACTTAGGCTTAGGCTATAGTATAACACCAAAGTCATCACTCATCACGGTGTCACAAATGTGTCGTGGACGATATAGGGAACAGTTTGACTGTGCCATCATTTCCGGGAAGAACTAATTACGAAAATAATGACGCAAACAAAAAGTGGGTCAACACAGGATATCTTCAATTTTGAAGTGTCATTTTCGGGGAACCCTCCACCCCGGAAATGATGACATAATCAAATAGCGGGATATTATTAAACTCAAGGTAAATATAAATATAAAAATAAGGACCTTACCGGGCATCCGTCCGACAAAGCCTTCAGTGACACATCTGTGATGTTGGAACACGAGTCCAGGTTTATACTGAAACATAATTATAATATTTTCAGATCCATTTTGATAACCGACTTAGACTTCACGATTGTCTCTATTCTTTGATACATTTTGGTCTGAATATTGGCCTCTATTAATTTAAAAAATTAAATGTTAATTATGGTTTATTTCACGGGAAAAGATCCCACTGATACAGATATTTTCCGATTCTTTTCAGATTCAGTAAGGTGTATTTAGAGGATCCGATGGTCCCAAACGAATGACAGTGACGATCAGGGTGTTTAAGCGAGACAGGAATCCTACAATCCTTAGTTTTTCTACTCAAAAGCTATCCGCCTTTTGAAAGTGGCCCCGGAAAATAACAAAAGTAGCTTGAAATATATATAAAGCTTAGCTTTCGTGTAGAAAAGAATTCAAATTATCAATTAATTGGACTAACAGAAACTTAACCATATACAGAAATATTAAATACTCACCGCTGTAGCTTCTTACACTTCTTGCCGAGCGCCTGGCAGGTCGCGTCCGTAATCTTACGGCATTTGTTCAGGTTCAGATACTCGATGTTTGGACACGACTGCAAAAACAAACACATTCAAATTAAAATATGTGCAGTAGTTTTTGAGATTTTTGTCAACACCTGAAACATATCTGTTACATGTATGTATTAACATCACTACTATCGTAAGGTATGGCCCCTCACTACACATTGTCACTACATAGTATAAAACAAAGTCGCTATCCGCCGTCTGTCTATCCCAATGTATGCTTAGATCTTTAAAACTACGTAACGGATTACGATGCGGTTTTTTTAATAGATAGAGTGATTG